TTTCACACTAGATGCGATTTGCATGTGTGTTAAAAAATATATGCCAGAGGCGATCAATTCGTGAGCTGGTTGTTATTTCACACTAGATGCGATTTGCATGTGTGTTAAAAAATATATGCCAGAGGCGATCAATTCGTGAGCTGGTTGTTATTTCACACTAGATGCGATTTGCATGTGTGTTAAAAAATATATGCCAGAGGCGATCAATTCGTGAGCTGGTTGTTATTTCACACTAGATGCGATTTGCATGTGTGTTAAAAAATATATGCCAGAGGCGATCAATTCGTGAGCTGGTTGTTATTTCACACTAGATGCGATTTGCGTGTGTGTTAAAAAATATATGCCAGAGGCGGTCAGTTCGTGAGCTGGTTGTTTTAAGAATATTTGACACCAAATGCGTTTTGCATGTTCGCTTTGGTTAAAAAATATATGCCAGAGGTGTTCAATTCGTGAGCTGGCTGTTATTTCACACTAGATGCAATTTGCATGTGTGTTAAAAAATATATGCCAGAGGCGTGTTGTGCCTCTAGCCGCTAAGGAAGAGGTCTTTAGGGATTTATACGCCCAAAGGATTAGGATCCACGCTCGAAATAAGACACTCCCGAACGTTAGGTATAAATTGATATATTTCACAGATTCTTGTACACTATCACTTAGTCGCGATTATAATAGTCGGGCGCGATACGTACGGTACTTCGATACTATCGATATATGCGAGCGAGTAGTGAGCGAGTAGCGAGCGTCGGTGCATCTCGCGCTTATTATATATCTTAATTAATTAGGTCGTTGATTTGGGAGGAGTGTGGTGTCCCTGACCGGAGCATGTCTCGTGCTCCGCTCGTCAGCTGTCTCGTCAGCTGCTTACTCAGCTTCCGAGAACTTGACCGTGACTTCCTTCTCTTTAGTCACGTATCTTACTTTTATTTTATTAATAATCTTTTGTTACTTTACTCTCTCCTAATTATCTTTCCTTGATCTTTTTTCTAATTTTAATGCATTGCTTTACTCAGCTCTTTCTTAATCTTTTCTGTTTTACTTTATTGTTTTATCTTTTACTATATTTAGAGATTGGTCGGGTTACGACAGCCGAAAGAGAGGATCGCACCATCGTCGAGAACGCCAGGATGATGCTTGAGGCAAAAAGTTTGCCAAAGATGCTTTGGGCTGAGGCAGTGAACACTGCCGTTTACGTTCTGAACAGAACCTCTTCGACCAGCAATACTCTGGCAACCCCTTACGAAGTCTGGCATGGCAACAAACTTGACGTAGCACATTTGCGTGTTTTCGGATCAGATGTGTATACTTACGTAGACAAGCAGTTTCGAGGGAAATTCGACTCCAAAGCTGAAAAAGGAATCTTAGTGGGATACGAAGGCGATTCGTCAAATTACCGTATTTATTATCCACAGAAAAGGACAGTGTTAGTTTCGAAACACGTTAAGTTCGATGAAGAGAATTCAACCACAATGGAGTTCGAAAACACATCTGAAGAAGGAGAGGAAGAAGATCTGAAGTTCCAGGCAAATTCCAGAGACGTGCAAGGTTTAGAAGAGCAAGACAAAAACATACAAAATGTGCCAAGCAGAGTCATTGCTGGAGAGCAGGATACAGTTGGTCAAGAAGGTCAATCAGTGGTAAATCAACGAAGAACACTTACGACTCAACGTCTAAATTTAAGAGACAGGAGCAGCATCAAACCACCCCCCAGGTTCGAAGTCAACGTGGCGGAACATATTCTTAAAACCTTCAAAAAAACTACAAGCGGATCAGACGGCGACAAATGGTCGCGAGCCGTTGCTGAAGAGCTGGAAGCACATCAGAAGAACGGAACGTGGATTCTGTTGCCGCGAAGGGGCATCAAGACACCCATTGATTCTAAATACGTGTTCAAAATTCTGTACGACATCACAAGAAACATCTGTCGCTACAAAGCGCGATTGTGTGCGAGAGGATTCCGCCAGCGGGAGGGAGTGGATTATTCAAAAACCTTCTCACCAGTCGTTCGTTACGATTCCTTACGAGTCTTTCTAACCATGGTGACACAGCGAGATCTGGAGATGTCGCAGTTCGACGTTAAGACCACTTTTCTTCACGGTGATCTTGACAAAGAGATTTTTATGGAGGTGCCAGAAGGTCTGGATGTCGACGGTGACAAAAGTGACGTTGTCTGTTTGTTACAGAAATCGTTGTACGGCTTAAAGCAAGCACCTCGGTGCTGGAACGACAAGTTCACGCACTTTCTTGCACAATTTGGTTTTAAACAGTGCAATTCCGATCCGTGTATTTTTCTAGGTCAAGTCGAGAACAGTGTAGTGTACTTAGCGTTATTCATAGATGATGGACTGATTGCTTCGGAAAATAAGACTGTTTTAGAGACAATATTGGACAAATTGAGTGATGAATTCGAAATAACGATAGGAAACGGCAGAAGTTTTGTAGGAGTACAAATAGAAAGAGATAAAGCTAATAAGACAATGTTTATCCATCAAGAAGCCTACGCGCTTCAGATCTTAGATAGATTCAAAATGAGCGAGGCCAAGCCTGTGAGTGTCCCAGCTGATGTTCATGTCTGTCTGAAACCGGCGGAAGACACAAACATTTGTTTAGCAGTTCCCTTTCGTGAAGCTGTTGGCTCACTCATGTTTTTGGCGGTGATGACGCGTCCAGAATTGGCTTACGCTGTTAATAATGTTAGCAAATATCTTGCAAATCCTGATGAAAGTCATTGGCAAGCGATCAAGCGCATTTTCAAATACTTGAAAGGCACCACGCGTTTCGGTATAACTTACAGAGCAGATCTCAGTTGATAGGCTTTGCAGATGCCGACTACGCTGGAGAAATCGAGACAAGAAGGTCTCGAGAAGAAGAACCACCGGATACGCTTTTTGTTTCGCATATGGTATATGTATATTTGGTCGCTCTCTTCCGCACACACATCCTTTAGTCGTCGTCGTCTAGTCGAACAAGTCGGTCGCACTGTAATAAAGTAAAGAGAATCGCATCGTAACAACGCATTATTCACTGGCCCTTCGCCCTTTCAATCATAATCACCAACAAATGCTATTGTAAATCTATACGATAATCATAATATCATAAAAAGAGCGCCCCATTCATAGAGCACTTTTTTCACATGTTATTTCGCCATGCCTGAGCGCGCGAAATTTCAGCTGTCATTCGTAAAATATAATCGATTCCTGTTTAAAAACTATTATAGTCTCGACATATTTGTATTAGGATTTTCGTCTTGAAATGTTCTAAGAAATCCATTAAGAGGAAGTACGGTAGTTTTAGAACACCCTGTATATATACAGGGTGAGTTTTTTAACTTGAAACTGTAAAATATCTCGGAAAGTAAACTTTATCGAAAAAAATGTTTCAAACAAAAGTTGTAGGGTTCGGAGGGGGCCACATGACAAAAATATGGATTTGACCTTGAGTGACCTTTTCAAGGTGAGATCAATGTGATCGACGTTTTCTTAAATGGAACCCCCCTTTTTTATTACATATTCTTGTAGCTTATCTCGAGAGCTTTTCAAAACACTATAATAAAGTATTTTTTCATTAAGTACTTTTTGAGTTATTTTATATCTTAATCTGACATATTTTGATATAAAAGATAAAATATCTCGTAAAATATTTATTTTTCGATAATTTTAACGTAATACTTTTATGTTCAGAATAATGAGACAAATCAATCAGTATAAAAAAAATTGTTTTTAAGAAAAAGTATGTAATTATTTACAATGTATTTTTTAAAACAATTATTTGTTTTTTTTATACCAATTTTGGCAAGAGAATTTAATCTCTTTTACGCGGAATGGGACCAAATGCGATCTTCTGGGAATGAGAGGGGGTTAATAAAGATTTAATATGATTTAAATTAATAAAATACGACTTTATTCATGTTTAAATTAAATTACGTTAGTATACATAAAAAATGGTAAACGTTAATAGTCAATTTGGTATGGGTGAATGTGTGTGTGTTTATTTGTCGCGGGTGTTATATTAATACGGGGGACATCAGTCATAGTAGTGCGGCAAAGTTTTATCGTTAACATAAGGGTTCTGACTGGTTAATACAATATAAAAGTAATAAATAAGAAAAATAAATAAATAATGGACCAACTATACGAGCTAAATTAAAGATGTCAATAATAAAAAACTTGTGAATACAAGATAATTTTCTTTAATTAAATGTATTTAATTCAAATAAACGTTTCGACTTTACTTAGTCTTCTTCAGTATAACGCTAAAAATATAAACATAAATAAATTCTTAGTAAAATATGTGAAGGTTAACACACTCCTTTGAAGTAATCAATAAAGTATTTTTTCATTGAGTACTTTTTGAGTTATTTTATATTTTAATCTGACACATATTTTGATATAAAAAATAAAATATCTCGTAAAATATTTAGTTTTCGATAATCTTACCGTAATACTTTTATGTACAGAATAATGAGACAAATCAATCAGTATAAAAAAAATTGTTTTTAAGAAAAAGTATGTAATTATTTACAATGTATTTTTTAAAACAATTATTTGTTTTTTTTATACCAATTTTGGCAAGAGAATTTAATCTCTTTTACGCGGAATGGGACCAAATGCGATCTTCTGGGAATGAGAGGGGGTTAATAAAGATTTAATATGATTTAAATTAATAAAATACGACTTTATTCATGTTTAAATTAAATTACGTTAGTATACATAAAAAATGGTAAACGTTAATAGTCAATTTGGTATGGGTGAATGTGTGTGTGTTTATTTGTCGCGGGTGTTATATTAATACGGGGGACATCAGTCATAGTAGTGCGGCAAAGTTTTATCGTTAACATAAGGGTTCTGACTGGTTAATACAATATAAAAGTAATAAATAAGAAAAATAAATAAATAATGGACCAACTATACCAGCTAAATTAAAGATGTCAATAATAAAAAACTTGTAAATACAAGATAATTTTCTTTAATTAAATGTATTTAATTCAAATAAACGTTTCGACTTTACTTAGTCTTCTTCAGTATAACGCTAAAAATATAAACATAAATAAATTCTTAATAAAATATGTGAAGGTTAACACACTCCTTTGAAGTAATCATGTCAATTTAAAATAAACATATAGAAATAAATACTTAAATAAAACACTAAGAAGAAGCTGTGACAAAATGTAAGAGTTTGGTCAGAGGTTAAAAATTAATAAAACTGATTAGCGACAATTAAAACTATTGAAGATAAATTCGTCGTTGAAAGGCGAGAAGTTAGCTTTTAAATTGTCAGTTATAGTCGTAAAATTGTGTTTCCGGTCTTATACTGTTAAAAAACAAAATAAAAAGGTTGATGTTACCAGCTATTAATTTAGGCAAACACTAATTGGTTAATATTTTTACTTACAACCCTATGTCAATCAATCCCGAGGATGTCTTACATGTATTGTCTTGCTTCTTGTTGTTGTCGAGTCTAAATCGTGACTGTTAGTGAGTGTCAATAAGATGTTGAGTGGATATAAACAAAAAGTAAAAGAGCGGCGCTGAAAACAATGTCGGACGTTATATGTTCGATAATTCTTCGAGAATATCGAAATATGCACTGTCAAGTAATTCGGTGTCGGTATTAGAATTGATTCCGAATTTTTGTTTTTTAATGTGAATCATTTCCGAAATAAGTCTTTTATTGAAACTATTTTCAATATCTAGAATTCTTGCTTTATCCCAATTAAATGTGTGTTGTAAGTTTAAAATGTGTTCTGAGATAACCGAATGTCTTGAAGAGTCGAGTTTTATGTTATTTATATGTTCCTTGAGTCTAGTGCTCAACTGTCTCTTTGTTCGTCGTACATATGAAGGGGCGTATCCCGTTTGGACACGGAATGATTGGACACCGCTTGATTGGACACGTAGTATCGGACACGGAACAATTGGACACTGCACGATTGGACACAGAATTATTGGACACCGCACAATTGGACACGCACACTGCACGATTGGACACTGCACGATTGGACACAGAATTATTGGACACCGCACATCGTGCGGTGTCCAATCGTGCGGTGTCCAATCGTGCGGTGTCCAATCGTGCGGTGTCCAATCGTGCGGTGTCCAATCGTGCGGTGTCCAATCGTGCGGTGTCCAATCGTGCGGTGTCCAATCGTGCGGTGTCCAATCGTGCGGTGTCCAATCGTGCGGTGTCCAATCGTGCGGTGTCCAATCGTGCGGTGTCCAATCGTGCGGTGTCCAATCGTGCGGTGTCCAATCGTGCGGTGTCCAATCGTGCGGTGTCCAATCGTGCGGTGTCCAATCGTGCGGTGTCCAATCGTGCGGTGTCCAATCGTGCGGTGTCCAATCGTGCGGTGTCCAATCGTGCGGTGTCCAATAATTCTGTGTCCAATCGTTCCGTGTCCAATACTACGTGTCCAATTGAGCGGTGTCCAATCGTTCCGTGTCCAAACGGGTGTCACCCCATATGAAGCATCGCAATTATTACAGTTTATTTTATAAATTACATTGGTGTTAGATGGATGTTTATTTTTGTCTTTTTGTACTTTAATCATTTTATCAAGTTTATTGAGACAACGGTATCCCACTACAAATTTCGATTTTTTAATCGCAGATGCAACTAATTCTGAAATGTTGTTAATATATGGGATCACAAAATAATTTTTCTTATTTTCTTCTTTCTTTGTATTATTGTTCGTTAAATTTGTTGTCTTGTTAATGAGAGTTCTTATTCTGCGATTAATTGTGTTAAAGATGAAACGGAGGGGATAGCCATTGTTCAACAGTATCTTGATACTAATTTCTAAATTCTTCTTATGGAATTGAGGATGAGACAAAAGCATAACTCTATCAACTAAACTGTAAATGGTTCCTATTTTATGACACTTAGGATGATTCGAGAAATACGATAACATTCTCCCTGAGAATGTTTTTTTGTGAAACCAATCAATGTAAACGGAATTATCAATAATCTTAATTGACAAATCTAAAAAGCTGATGCTTCGGTCAACCTCGTATTTCACCGTAAACTGCAATCTTTTATGATAGTCATTGAACTTATTCAGGATGTTTATGACCCTATTATCCGGTGCAGCTAATATTTTATCGTCAACATAACGGTAATAAAATGGTAAATTCGTATCCAATGTGTTAAGAATTGATTCTTCCACATCTTGGATTACTAGATTAGCTATTATCGGAGATAGTGGAGAACTCATAGGGGTCTCATATGTTTGTTTGTAAATATTGTCATTAAATGTGAAATATGTGGAGGATAGTATGAATTTAATAGCTGAAATAAAATCGTTCTTAGGGATCATGGTGTGTGTTTCAATGTGATACCATCTGCTGTTAATGCTATCGATTGCAAGATCTGAAGGTATGTTGGTAAAAAGTGATATTACATTCAAAGAGACGACAACGTCCGACTGTCCCAATGTTTTTCCACTTAGTGTGTTGCACAGCTCAAAACTATTGTTCACATGGCTCTTGGCTCGAGGGATACTTGATGATAATAATTTATGCATGTAATTAGCAATAGAGTATAAGGCAGTGTTGATCGAGGAAACGATAACTCTGAAAGGAATATTTTCTTTGTGGATTTTTGGTAGGCCATATGCTTTGGGCAAGAGAGAATCACTAGATCGAAGACAATAATAATCCTTCTTGGAAATGTAATCCTTCTTTAACCAATCTCTTAACATGTTATTGAGATCTCTTTCGATTTTTAAAGAGGGGTTCTTTTTTATGATGGATAAATTGCATTGCATGTGTAAATCCACAATGGAATTTTGTCACCGCAATCCAAACATCCTATTTACACATGCTGACAAAGGCAATGTTACTGTAGCCATGGATAATGATTATTACCATAGGGGTCTCATATGTTTGTTTGTAAATATTGTTATTAAATGTGAAATATGTGGAGGATAGTATGAATTTAATAGCTGAAATAGAATCGTTCTTAGGGATCATGGTGTGTGTTTCAATGTGATACCATCTGCTGTTAATGCTATCGATTGCAAGATCTGAAGGAATGTTGGTAAAAAGTGATATTACATCCAAAGAGACTACAACGTCCCAATGTTTTTCCACTTAGTGTGTTGCACAGCTCAAAACTATTGTTCACATGGCTCTTGGCTCGAGGGATACTTGATGATAATAATTTATGCATGTAATTAGCAATAGAGTATAAGGCAGTGTTGATCGAGGAAACGATAACTCTGAAAGGAATATTTTCTTTGTGGATTTTTGGTAGGCCATATGCTTTGGGCAAGAGAGAATCACTAGATCGAAGACAATAATAATCCTTCTTGGAAATGTAATCCTTCTTTAACCAATCTCTTAACATGTTATTGAGATCTCTTTCGATTTTTAAAGAGGAAAAAAACTGGATACAAGATAAATTGCATTGCATGTGTAAATCCACAATGGAGTTTTGTCACCGCAATCCAAACATCCTATTTACACATGCTGACAAAGGCAATGTTACTGTAGCCATGGATAATGATTATTACATAAATAAGGTAGAGGATTTACTAAAGAATAAAAATACTTACTCCATCATAAAAGAGAAACCCTCTCTAAAAATCGAAAGAGATCTCAATAACATGTTAAGAGATTGGTTAAAGAAGGATTACATTTCCAAGAAGGATTATTATTGTCTTCGATCTAGTGATTCTCTCTTGCCCAAAGCATATGGCCTATCAAAAATCCACAAGGAGAATATTCCTTTCAGAATTATCGTTTCCTTGATCAACATTGCCTTATACTCTATTGCTAATTATATGCATAAATTATTATCAAGTATCCCTCGAGCCAAGAGCCATGTGAACAATAGTTTTGAGTTGTGCAACACACCAAGTGGAAAAACATTAGGACAGTCGGACGTTATCGTCTCTTTGGATGTAATATCACTTTTTACCAACATTCCTTCAGATCTTGCAATCGATAGCATTAACAGCAGATGGTATCACATTGAAACACATACCATGATTTCTAAGAACGATTTTATTTCAGCTATTAAATCCATACTATCCTCCACATATTTCACATTTAATAACAATATTTACAAACAAACATATGAGACCCCTATGGGTTCTCCACTATCACCGATAATAGCTAATCTAGTAATCCAAGATTTGGAAGAATCAATTCTTAACACATTGAATACGAATTTACCATTTTATTACCGTTATGTTGACGATATAATATTAGCTGCACAGGAAAATAGTCATAAACATCCTGAATAAGTTTAATGACTATCATAAAAGATTGCAGTTTACGGTGGAATATAAGGCTGACCGAAGCATCAGCTTTTTAGATTTGTCAATTAAGATTATTGATAATTCCGTTTACATTGATTGGTTTCACAAAAAAACATTCTCAGGGAGAATGTTATCGTATTTCTCGAATCATCCTAAGTGTCATAAAATAGGAACCATTTACAGTTTAGTTGATAGAGCTATGCTTTTGTCTCATCCTCAATTCCATAAAAAGGATTTAGAAATTAGTATCAAGATACTGTTGAACAATGGCTATCCCCTCCGTTTCATCTTTAACACAATTAATCGCAGAATAAGAACTCTCATTAACAAGACAACAAATTTAACGAACAATAATACAAAGAAAGAAGAAAATAAAAAAAATTATTTTGTGATCCCATATATTAACAACATTTCAGAATTAGTTGCATTTGCGATTAAAAAATCGGACTTTGTAGGGGGGTACCGTTGTCTCAATAAACCTGATAAAATGATTAAAGTACAAAAGGACAAAAATAAACATCCATCTAACACCAATGTAATTTATAAAATAAACTGTAATAATTGCGATGCTTCATATGTAGGACAAACAAAGAAACAGTTGAGCACTAGACTCTAGGAACATATAAATAACATAAAACTCGACTCTTCAAGACATTCGGTGGTCTCAGAACACATTTTAAACTTACAACACACATTTAATTGGGATAAAGCAAGAATTCTAGATATTGAAAATAGTTTCAATAAAAGACTTATTTCGGAAATGATTCACATTAAAGAACAAAAATTCGGAATCAATTCTAATACCGACACCGAATTACTTGACAGTGCATATTTCGATATTCTCGAAGAATTATCGAACATATAACGTTCGACTTGTTTTCAGCGCCGCTCTTTTACTTTTTGTTTATATCCATTCAACATCTTATTGACACTCACTAACAGTCACGATTTAGACTCGATAACAACAAGAAGCAAGACAATACTACATGTAAAACATCCTCGGGATTGATTGATAGGTTGTAAGTAAAAATATTAACCAATTAGTGTTTGCCTAAATTAATAGCTGGTAACATCAACCTTTTTATTTTGTTTTTTAACAGTATAAGACCGGAAACACAATTTTACGACTATAACTTACAATTTAAAAGCTAACTTCTCGCCTTCCAACGACGAATTTATCTACAATAGTTTTAATTGTCGCTAATTAGTTTTATTAATTTTTAACCTCTGACCAAGCTCTTACATTTTGTCACAGCTTCTTCTTAGTGTTTTATTTAAGTATTTATATGTATATGTTTATTTTAAATTGACATGATTACTTCAAAGGAGTGTGTTAACTTTCACATATTTTATTAAGAATTTATTTATGTTTATATTTTTAGCGTTATACTGAAGAAGACTAAGTAAAGTCGAAACGTTTATTTGAATTAAATACATTTAATTAAAGAAAATTATCTTGGATAAATACAGGGTGTCCCATTTTAAAAGTTCCACCCTCATAACTTTTCAAGATCAACGTTTGAAGGAAAACGACTCGGATAAAAGTTGTAGGGAACAGAGGGGGCTATCTAATAGTGACCTTGGATTTGACATTAAAGGTCATTTTCAAGGTCATTTGA